AAAAAAAAAAAAAACTAGAATCGACCAAAAACCATGTGGTTAGATCGGTCAATTTTTGTCCTTTTCTTAGAGCATTTGCTTTATTTTTTTTTTTTAACTATAATAGCATATATTGCAATTGAGCCACATTTATATTCTCCATTGGTATGAGTTGTTGTTGGCTTTGTTTATATGGCGTGAAATTATTTACTCGATTATGAAATATTTTCATATTATTATTATTTATATTTTTTTCATATTTAAATCATCTTAATAAATATTTAAAATATTAAATATTTATATTTCCTAAATAATTATTAGTTCAACATAAATTAGAATGATAAAGTATGTTGATGTCGTTATAAGTAATTTTACATTTTAACAGCTAATTAAAAATGTTAATTTTACCAAACACTTTTTTACAAACAGCTAACACAATCAGCTGGTCAAAATAACTAATGCAATCTGCTGGTCAAAACAGCTAATACAATCAGCTAACAGCTAACAGTTAACAGCTGATTACCAAACAAGACCTTTGCTTTATCTCTTCATGATAAAGCAATATTCCCTAGCAGTTGTTCTATATTTTGCATTTCAAAAAACAAATAGTATTCTATATGTTATTATTTTTATTTTTTTCAATTACATACAAAAAAATACATCTCTTCATATATTCATTTGTACTCAAGATATGTATCATTTCATTTTTAGGCGTTTATTAAAATATATATATACAATTAAATACTTGCAACCTTTGTAATTAATTTATTTTTTCGGACTCATGATATAACTAGAAGACAACACTCACATTGTAACTAGAATTCTTCTAATACGATATTTATGAAAGAAATTTAATTTATTCAAAATACTTAATTATGAATTGAATTGGGTTGGAATTTGGAACATTTATTACAGATATAAGTATAGGTATTTTGAAAATATAATGAAATTATGAGTATAAAATATGCCTAAATAAATTAAAGCACCATAAAACAAAGAATAATATATATCACGAGAAAAGTCATCCGTGACGTGGCCACAACCCCTACCTCATCAGTGACGTCAGCCCTCCTCTGTTTCTCCTGCTATAAATACGGCTATTCTCCCATCCGCCCAAACACCACACTCATCTTATCTTCCAAAATTGTTTGAAAATCACAAACTAAAACCCCCCCTCCTTAAAAATGGCGAAATCCGTGAAAGCAGTCGGATGGGCCGCCCGGGACCAGTCGGGCCATCTGTCTCCCCTGAAATTCGAACGGCGCGTGACCGGCGAGCGAGACGTACAGTTCAAGGTCCTCTACTGCGGGATCTGCCATTCCGATCTACACGCCATCAAAAACGAATGGGGCTTCTCCGCTTACCCGATGGTACCCGGCCACGAGATCGTCGGCGTCGTCACCGAGGTCGGATCCAAGGTCGAAAAGTTCAAGGTCGGCGACAAGGTCGGCGTCGGCTGCATGGTCGACTCCTGCCGTAAGTGCGACCTCTGCGCCCGGGATCTCGAGAACTACTGCACCGGCGGCGCCACCTTCACCTACGGCAGCGCCCTGCCCGACGGATCTGTGACCTACGGCGGCTACTCGGACCTCATGATCGCCGTCGAGGACTTCGTCATCCGCTGGCCGGACAATTTCCCCCTCGACAAAGGCGCTCCCCTGCTCTGCGCCGGGATCACGACGTACAGCCCGCTTAGGAGCTTCGGGCTCGACAAGCCGGGCCTCAGCATCGGCGTGGTCGGGCTGGGCGGGCTGGGCCACGTAGCGGTCAAGTTCGCCAAAGCGTTCGGGTCCAAGGTCACTGTCATCAGCACTTCCCCCAATAAGAAGGCGGAGGCTGTTGAGAAATTGGGGGCGGACGGATTCCTGATCAGCGGCGACCAGGCGCAGATGCAGGCTGCGGCAGGGACCCTGGACGGCATCATCGACACAGTCTCCGCCCCACACGCGATCCCACCACTTTTGAGCCTACTGAAGCCCGACGGGAAGCTGGTGGTGGTGGGGCTGCCGGACAAGCCGCTAGAGGTGCCGCCGTTCCCACTGGTGATGGGGCGGAAGGTGGTGGCCGGGAGCATGATTGGGGGGATCAAGGAGACTCAGGAGATGATCGACTTTGCAGCCAAGCATGGTATCTTGCCGGACGTGGAGATTGTGCCGATTGAGTATTTGAACACGGCCATGGAGAGGCTGGCGAAGGGGGATGTCAAGTACAGGTTTGTGATTGATATTGGGAACACGCTGAAATCCGAGTGAGAGTGATTGAGTTGTGGTTATTTTTTGAGAAATTGTTCTGTTGCTGGGTTTATTTATGTGTGCTAATAGTAATATTATCATTTTGATCTGTTTATTTTCTGCTTTATATTGTTGGTCCTTTGAATAAATTATTTCAGTTTGCTGTTGGGCCAAGTTTGATCATTTTTATATTAATGATATTTGAGGTGGATGCAATTGTTTGATACAGAGCAGAATTATGATTTGATACAGAGCAGATGGGTACAATAACAAAGACCCGACCCGACCCTACCCTATTGTGTTAGCCATATTGTTTGAACTGTTTCAAACTGACAGATTATGTTAGCTGTTTTAGTGTAGATTCATTAAAATTACATTTAGTTATGTTAAAATTACACTTCAATGAATTTCTTTATATTAGTAAATTATTATAAAATACTCATTAAAAAAAAATAGTAATATTATATTAACGAAAGTAGAATTTTCTTGGATTTAATATTTAAAACGAGGAGCTAACTAGTAAATTAATGAACAAATGAACAACAAATAATGGTATACCTTTCTGCTCACATTTTGTTTAATGAACCAATGTTATGAAAACCGAACCGATTATCGAATCGGTGAAGCTACTGGTTCATTGGTCGGACATCGGTCGAATCGTTTTAATTCATATATAATTTATTTATTTATTTTATATGTATAATATATAATTATATATATTTTTATCATTAGGTTTATAGTTAAAAATGACATTGTTTTATATATAAAATAAATGTATTTGTTTTTTATCATTAGTTTAATATGTAAAATATATAATTGTATATATTTTTATCATTATCAAATTAAAAAACGTTAAAGTATTATACTTATTATGTAAGGTTTGTATTTATTTTGTAAATAGTAAATTTATAATAATAATAATATAATTTATCTAATTTTATTTTTATTTTTTTAATACAAGAATTTGCATTTTAAAATTTGCATAAGGACATAAAATAAAAAATAAAAAAAAGTGGGCCCAAGACTTTGCAATTTCAATTGCTCAAGTATATACCAAAAAGAGAAGCCCACGCCACAAAGCAAGCAAAAGAATAAGAAAATAGGCAAACAATTATTCTCACATAGTGGCGAAACCAGCCGGTCATTTTGGGGAGGGCTCAATTTGCCGCGGCACACTACCCCCTCTCCGGTATCGGAAGGGCACTCAAAGGGCTTTTCTAGACGCTCTAAAAAATTTTCGCAGGATATAAAGGAATCTCTAGATATTTTTCTAAAAATCAAACTAAGTCCGGAATTAAACTGGTATACTTAAACTGAATTGTTTTAACTCAAAAAATACTCGAATTTATACTAATAAAAATCTCGGACTCAATTATAATAATAATCAAGAATTATACCTCCTTTTGAATAGACGAAAAGCTGCAAAAATTGAGAAAACGAAGCCTCGAACGATCAAACTCGTCCTCGACAAATTTGCTCCTTTTGATACTATTTAACGCAGAAATTCAAACTCCCATAAATAATGCTCGGAACTCCGAAAAATGTGAAATTTGTCCGTATAGAATCGTGTTTGAATCTACACACTTCAACTCGATTCTCTTTAAACCGAGGTCACACGCAATTTTACGGAACCCCGCAAACGGATTTTTATTCTTCTATTATGCGCACTCGACTTCGAGCTTCTCAAAATAAATGCTCGAAACTTCGAAACGTGAAATAAGTTTTACGAACAGCTTCTACTGTTCTCGTGCTTTCAAGAAAGCGCTCCCGCTAATTTTCAGCATGCCTAACGAGGGCCGACGGTTACCCGAAGTCTACACATGAAAATGACAATAAAATCACCGCCACTGCCATTTTTCTCTCAACTTCGAGCTATCCAAAATAAATGGTCGGGACCTCAAAATCATAAATCGATGCCACTAACGCACTCTCCGCTTCCCGTACTTTCATAATAGTATTTTTCGGTAATGATCGACTCAATTTTTGAGTCCCGTCGGTACACCGCAAGTCGGCTAATTAACCAACTCAAAATATAATAAAAATGAAAAAATTATTAAATTCTGCTACTGTTATAGTTCTCCTTGTCCCGAAACCAGGATCCCATTTCGGGGAGGGCCCAATTTGTCTTTAAAAAAAAATTTCACAACAAAACTGTTGGCACCCCTCCGGCCATGTATGTACCGCATGAAACTGGGGAGGGCCCAACATGCGCGTTCAAAGGAAAATATTCCAGTTCCAGTAAAATCCTCCACCCCTAGTTTAAATATTTTTTTTTTTGGAGGGGCCGGCGCCTCTCCGATCCCCACTTAGTTTCGCCCCTAGTCTCACATCGATAGTCTAATGAAGACATGAAGAGAATATAGTAAAAAAGTGAGCTGAACTGTTTGAGTTATAGACTGCTGAGCCGGTGGAACCGAATATAGTTTTCTGGTTTGACCGATTTTGGACGGCCCAATCGGTTTTTGATCGGTTTTTGTGTCCAGCAATTTAACTCCTATGATTAACTCCTATGACCGGGACTGTTGACTTGTCTGGTTCCCGATCGATCTAGCGGGTCCGGTTTTTAGGACATTGCTTAAAACGATAATTTTAGGGCAACTATCAACTGTGAGAGCTACCATTATATATTAATATATTTTCTTTAATATATATCAAATAGTTAAACGGACAAATTAATTTGTAACAAATAATGACAAGAAAGCTGTTGCTTCCATAGGCCACCCATTTACCAAACTACTATTGTAGTTGGTCAACGTGTTTTTGGTTTCGTTTTTTATAAGTATTTGGGTTCAAGCTAGTTCTGATATTTGTAATGCCAGTTGACATTTCAATTGAGCTCGTTATTTTGAACTATATATAGTTTAATCATTTGGAAAATAAATAAAAAAAATATATTTTATCTGGTCAAATGGTCTCCAATCAAATCTGCTAAAAAATGGTGAAAACCCAAATCAAATAAATTATTTGACAATAAATAGTTAATTTTTTACGTAAATCTCGCGTTTAATAATTATTTTATTGTCATATATTATTACATTTTGTAAATGTTAAAATACTAATGGTCCGAAAAAAGTATAAGATATAATATTATATGCATATAGAATTTTTGAATAAAAAGAAAGGTATTGAAGTTTCATTGGAATTATATTTAAGAAATTATCTTATGCGCATAAGTTTTACAATATGACAATAGTACAATTTAAATTTTAATGGAAATCTTGTATTTAAAAATATTATTCTTTTTATTCAATATAATTTTAATCTTTTGTTATTTTAAGTTAATGGACAATTTAGTTTTCATTTAAGTATATTATGTATATAATATTGTTTATTTTGTAATATTTTCTCTTATCACATGTAACTTTGACTTTCATGCTTGTATAATGTGTAACAATATAAAATGGATGAGAAGAGTTGAAATTGATTGAACGGGTTCACGTGACTCACATGTAACATGTTCATGTATAATATGTAACAATATATTAAAGTAAAATGGATGAGAACGTGTCACGCGAAATATGAAATTTCAAATTTGTTATTATAATTTTAGAAACTAGCTTCAAATTTATTATTTATAATTTTAGAACTCTTGAAATTTGTTTGACATTATAGGGTTGTTTTTGTTATAAATGTGCATGCTAGTTACGGAAAACAGCTAGAAAAAAAAAAAAAAAAGGAATTTGCACCACATACCATTCAATACACTTTATATTACATTTATACACCCCATAAATATATATTTGCAACTCTACTAAATTCTAAATTCTACATACTTATTTGCACATGTACCAGATTTTTCAATTTATTAATTATGGAGAATAAATATAGAAAGAGAGGTATATTTATAACCAATCCCTATTATCAAGGAATTAATTTTCTCTTTGTTGTCAAATGAGAATTAACAACAATATAATTGATGTAGGTTTGAAGTAAACTCAGCATAAATCAGCAGGAACTTGTATAGTTTAAAAGAAGATGGAATTTCTTTATGAATATTATTATTGTACGTGTATATCTCTCTCTGGAGAATTGTTTTTCTCCTTTTATATTTATGTACAACATTTATCCGCATAGTAATCATTACATTTGAAAGGTCAAAGGCGGCTCCTAGCCACTTCTCTTGATAACTCGCCACTTGGACAAACGTAATGATGATTTATGCTGAGTTGTCGCCGCCTTACAGTGCTGAGATGGCACATTATAGATATCGGTTCATCCAGTTATAACCGATATGTTGTATCCGACATGTATTGACCGACATGTGATGACCGACATGAGATATCGGTTAAAAAAAGTAATGGAGATGTCGGTTCTTGTTGAATCTCTCGTCATGCAGTCGTCTTGAAGTCGGTGGAAGTGTCACGTACTTGTACAAATTTTAATTATCCTCATACTGACCTTAATCGGCTGATCAATGTCACTTACTTTGGTTTACTGAAAATGATATCAACAAGGTGGCCCCCAGCATTAATGGTCGTCTGGACGGAAGACGGGCAGTGATGCTGAAACTTTAGCAGGACGTAACTAAATTCTCGGATTAACATGACATGTCGGTTTCATCATCATTCCTCCGATGTCTCCACACTTGTGGAAATAATACTTAAAAGTTGAAGCGGTGCACTTTATTGAAATTAATTGCACCGTTTTATTAATAGGGGTAACGGTCACTTAAAATAGGCCACGTAGCTGCTATTAAGAGGCACGATTTTCAAGAGTCGCGTCGACTCGCAGATCCAGAACGTGTAACCCACGCGCCCCTATTTCCATCGGTTTCCAACGGTCGCTTTCGAATCCAGGGTTTAGTATAAATGGGAATTCTTCTTTTGAGATCTATTTTACTTTCATCTTCTTCTTGCAATCATCTTTTCTGCTTTCTTCGCAAATTAATCGCTTTTCAATCGTACTCAAAGCATTCCAGATCCGCGAACTGCTTCCTGTGGTAAGAATTTCTCATCGTATTTTATTTATTTGCCCCGACTTTCCTTTCTTTTTATCGACATCATGAGCGTATCTTGGGCGTC